TGAAGCCCTGATTTTTTTCAGGCTTCTTCTTTCCAGTTGCTTAAATTGGAAAATTAACTGCGATGATCATTCTTCACTTTCATCTATAACCGCAGTTCAGATATGAAATATTTCATATAAACTTTACATCAAAAAGTGATTTTATACACCCTATTACAGACCTGACAGAAAAATTGATAACCATTTTCTGAGCAATAAAATTTTCAGACGTCTCTAATAACGTGACTTCAGCTAACCATGAATGGCTTCCATTTGCCTAAACATTTGAGAACGGTGTAAGATTCCGCGATGTCCATGTTTTTTTCTAATAAAACTGAAAACATACCTAATTCAGGCCATACAACAAAGCATAGCCCATTTCAGACAAAAATGTTTTAACTCAATACGCTATTTCAGACGGAAAAGGCTCACGAACTATACACGTTGACGCAAGGAGAGGGGAAGTCGGTTTTGAAACATAACTGAATGTTAAACAGACATGGAACACTGCCATCCCGTATTGGTTCTTCGGCTTTACTTCTGAGTAAAAGATTTTGGTCAATTTTGTGGTGACTTCTGATTTCAGGGTCAGACTCGAACAAAAGAAAACTAAGCACCTTAACAATGACTTAACTTAAACCCCTGGAAAAATAAATGGTCGATGTCTCTGGCTTATGTAAAGGAAAGAAAAGATTATTTTAGATGTGCACGTTCCGAGCCCTGTTAAATCCCGCCAAGATTCACGCCCCTTTGGTTTTCTTTTTTATGATTCTTGGTGTTTTTCTTTCCAATTTATTTAATGTAAATGTTACTTTAAGTTTGCTTCAATTTAACGTAATTTTGGACATCAAATAATGACTTTTGATTTAGTAACATATAACCTGTTCTATACATGTATGGTTTCTTCGCAAATGAGCGTGTTGCAGAGAGTCAAGTCTGCGAGACGATTGAACTGTTCTTCAGGGCAGCGAAATTTAAAAGCGCTGTACCAGCCTTCCTAGTTGTGACACTATGTTGTCATTGCAGATAGCATTTCATAGGTTAGAGCGTTATTTAGTAGCCTCATGGCGCTCGCACGTTGTTTTCTTGGCCTCAGCTTCTGAGCATGGCCGCCTTGAGAAACACGCTGATACAAGCGCACGCAGGCGAGCTTGATGCTTCGACTCCCTGTCCGATTTGGAAAAGTTTCCTCGAAGTGTTAACCTCTCGTAATAAAAGTCGGGCTATCCACATCTATCACACTGTAAAAAGAAACGCTTCCACCATCAACCAGAGCGATCTTGAGCGGAACTGGAGAGCACTCCTTTCTCAGAACAGTTAAAGCTGCCAGTGAAGGGGGAGGGTCACAAAACCTGAAAGAACCGGATAAACAAGTTTACATCAGGACGTCAACTACGTCGGATCCAGATCACCTCGCTCAGAGAGTTTGAAGACTGTATGCGAGTTGACCAGATTTTGAAGAGCGAGTAAAACGCTTATCAGTAGTCGTTAGTAACAGACTATGGACCCCACTGGACATACAATGTAGAATTTTCAAAACTGCAGTCATATAAAGCAGTTTGACGGACGAGGCTCTCATAAGTCTATATTTTGCCTATGTTTTAACAGCTGCCTCAAGCTCTCGGATGACTTCAGTGGAATAAAAGTAATTTAAGTTGCTGCCTTTTTCATCCTTTTCAGTTAAAGGACTACTTGCCTTTGTTTGTTTGTTTGTTTGTTTGTTTGTTTGTTACAATAAATTAAAAATTCTAATGCCTTACAAATGGAAGTTATAACACTGACAACAAACCTGCAAACAGTGATACAAAAATCTGGCGGTCCTGGATCACTTTTCTTGAAGTTCAGTCCTGGCTGATAAACATCCAATACTATTTGCAGAGATTGCTGTGCTGAGCTAAAAGTCACCAAAAACATGATTGTTGCATAAGAAAACATCACTGATTCTACTCTTAGTCAGAGAGAAAATAGAAAACTATTACTTGGTGGATGTTACATGAGTTTGCAGATGTAGCACTAGTACTGAAAGAAAGTCTGAGTGTTAAATTTCTGTAATAGGCCTGAGCTTATTTTGTTCAAAATATTTATTTAAAAGGCTTATTTTTGAGGGGAAGTGCCGTTTTTTGGGGTGGGGGGTGGTTATCATCAGAAAGGAATTTGCATTTAAATGTTGGTTGGTCATACATCTAACTTTAGTTAGCATCTGAAAATGTTTTAGGTCACATAAGAAAACTGCATTTACAAAACCTATTTCAGAGTGGGGTTTAATTTTTAAAGGAATATTTGTAGAAGAAATTCAAGCTTAAAACTCACCTTGGTTCCATACAGTTTCCTTCTGTCATTCTTTGATTCTTGATCACTTGTAACTTTGACAAAACTGCAGCTAAAAATTCACCAAAGGTGACAAAAGCCCATTCAATTGAATTAATATTTTAAGGCTCAAAGGATCTTTGTTGCATTTTCTTCGTTGTGCACTGTTGTTTGAATTAATTGTGTTACTTCAAATAATGAAAATAATCAAAGGAAAAACTTGAATTTTTTTTATGAGCAGTTTACCTCAAGAATTGTTGAAAGTTGAAATTCTTTCTTACAGCTGGGTTTCCCAAGCTTTACATAAATGCACTGTAAAAGGTGCACCATTTCGTTCCAAAGCCTCACTTGCCAATATAATTATTGTAAGTTAAAATCAAACTTATTAAGAACAGCTCATGTTGTGACAGCTAAGTTATCAGAGCCTGTAAGGTTTGATCAATGAACAAGGCATGTTCTAATAAATTGGAGTCAGCATTAAACCAAATGTCATACAGGCTATTCATAGAATTGTTCAAATTTACCATGCTATTTTGAACTCTTAGGGGAGATGAAAAATAGTCTGAAATAGCAGGTTTTCTAAATGGCCAATAGAGAATGACTGAAGAACAAACTCAGGGAAATGGTTTTGAGTTCAAAATAACCAGCAATTTGAAATAACTGAGTTTGAATTGGTGGGGTCCAACTGTTCATGTAACTTACCTGTTGAGGTTGCATCTTCAGGCCTTACAAGTGGTCTACAATCATCTTTACTCGTCCACAGGTGGGCTACAGGAGACGATATGTTGGGTATCTTATCATCATTATCACTGACATTCACATCATCATCATTGTAATCATCACCAGTCGCAGCTCCAGTTGTTATTTCCTCTTTCTGTCCAGTTTCCTGATGAGTTTTGCCTTCAGCAGTTGGGTTTTCTTCACTGTTCTGTCTTCACAAAATACAAACAATTCTTGTTAATGTTATTAAATAAATAAATATTATACTTAAAGTTACTTAGAAACACTTCTATCAACTCTTCAAGGTTTACTTCTCTGTCTGTTTACATTACACTTGTTCAAACAGTTCAATGATACTAAAAAATAAAATATTTGCATATTTTTGTCCAGTTTAGGTACAGTTATCAAATACACTCAGTACCTTGAAGATGAATGTGGTAAAACAATGAATCCCAAGCGCAGAAAGTAAGTATAAACCTGCAGTTAAATAAATAAAATGTCATTTTCAGTGTATGAAAGGCCTTTACAGATAAACAAAGCTGTAAGATCTATTCCAGTAGAGGGATTTGAGGCATCTCAGCTTGTCAGTATTGGCACTTAACGTCGATGTTGTTGCTCTTGTCACCAATAATAATAAATCCTGGATTAGCTATTCAACAGGTAGCATAAAACCAGGGCCAGGGCAGTGACAGTACAAAGTGTGAACCAGAGAACCCTGGCTTGGACTTGTGAGACCAAGGATACTTCCTGATTCAAAACTGATTTAACTGAATGATGTAGCTTCCATGCTACCCTCATCATTATGCATATTAACATGCAGTATTTGATGAACAAGCTAAAATACTCAAAGTGAATGTTTATCATCAAAAACCTACCAGATACTGATCAGGGTTGAAGTCATCTGACAACATTGACATGTAAGCCTGCAGAAAAAAGAAAGCTGCACATTAAAATAATGTTCACATGTGGAATCTGGATGATGGGGGCGAGGACTAACAAAGTTTTTAGATGTACCTGTACCTCAGTTTTAGAACTGATGTGCACTCATACGTATATAGAAGACTGGCTTTGAGCAATTGATATGAAAATGTTCCAAACTGTCTTACAGAAAAAGCCCAATGCAAATGGTTCATGACAACATAACATTAAATAAAATATTTAAATTATAAGATAAACAGCCCTTCCCTGTTGAAAGGACATTGGTAATCCACCATAGTACAGCTCCAATGATCCCTGCAGACAAGATAAAAGGTGACACAATTCAGAAAAAAGTAAATTTAGCTAAGAAAAAACAGTCAAACATTTATCCTTGGACAGGATTTTGTATGATAAAAAAATGTGCAATTTTTTAATTTTATTTTAATGTAGTTACCACTTTCAGGCCCAGGAGTGACCAACATCCAATTTCTTTCAACAATATCAACGCAGTCAAACCTTGGTAAGTGGACATCCTCGGGATCAGAAAAAGTGTCCTCCCAAGAGAGGTGTTCACTCACGGGAGGTTAAAAATGCAGTGTCGGTATGTGGCTAGGACCATTACTGATTGTCCACTTACAGGGGGTGTCCACTTACGGTAGGTGTCAGTTAATGTAGGTGCAACTGCACATAAAAATCCGATAGGCAAGCTACAAGATTTAATAAAATCATCAACAAAAGGAAGTTGTCTCCATGTACGATGTATGGTGTATGGTACTGGTAATCAAATTCTCTGTACAGGTATTAATTAAATATTTGTAACAAGTAAGGAGAAATCAAGTATTGATACTGAGGCTGACCTGCTCCAGAAGGAAAAGAGCTTCCTGTGGCTGTAACAACAACTTCCCATGTTTCCTTTGTCCAAAATGTTGCCAGTGGGGACCCTACTCAAANCCCCCCCCCCCCCCCATTACAATAGCTGACTAAACTCCTGCTATGTTAAAACAAGGTACTAAATTAAAGGGCAATTTTTTTAATTAATTACCTTTGATACTGATATGTCAACCACTTTTTCATCTGGATTCCAAGTTCCTATAGACAAGTTACCCCTGTCAACAAGACGATAATGGTTATAAAGTTTGAACGGGATTCTTGTGTTTGATGTTTAGTATCATCATAACATACACCAAACTTACTGAATCATGGAATTTTCAGTGAAATACTCTCAATGAATACAACTAAATGTTTATGACTGTAGGAGTTCACATTAAAATGGAATTATAGCACATGTATTCTGCAAGAGCAAATTAAATTGAACATTCAGTACTTCTTCAAAACTCTTTGTTCTTGTAAGATATCTCTCTTTTCTCGCATCAAGGAGGCCAAAGTTTCATCTGGTCTACTGTCGTCATCTGGGGCAAAAGCTTTTTGTCCTCCATGCTGTGGTAACTGAGAAGGCTTCTTTCTATGTGCGAGAAGATCTTCAGGGCTAAAAAACATAAAATCCCTCTATTACTAAGCATGAGACCTTAAGGGTTTTCTAGGGTTATTATTCCAGGAAAAAGTGACTTTATAAGTCTTTTGAAGAAGCTTGCACTTCAAAACATACAGTCAAATGACAAAAATTACTTTGAGCCCAATTATTGTGCACATCTTTGTTTGATTATGTGTGGCAATCAAACAGAATTGGATTCAAGCTTTGAATTTCAAAGTTTAAAAATGCAAGATTAGACCAAAACTTCCCACTAGTCCCTAGATCCCTCAGCCCATTCCATTTTGTTTCATTATTCTGCCTGCCCCCACCCACCCACCCCCCTCAGAAATAATCCAATTTTGTTTTGTTTCCTCAAGAAAACTAAAGTAATTTTTCTTCCAGACTCAAAAAATTAAATGATAAAAACAGGGTAGCTCCCTAGGATAAGAAAATCGTCTGAACGGGGAATGAATATAAATTACAATTGCCCTGCTTTCCCACCTCCATCCCCCTACATCCCCCCTTCGTCACTCACTCCCAAATGATCGAAATTCGAAAGGTAAAGTTTAATTGAAGAAAACCCCAAAAAGCTTGAACTAATAAGTAACTAACGACAATGAAGGGCAGAAATATTACCGTTAAGCAAAATTTTGTGCAGTAGCATCCACATGCAAACGCTATGCAAAATGAAAGACTGCACCCCTGATCGGTGTTCACAACACCACAGTACGCAAGAAAAAATCTTACCAGAATAAAATGTTCAGATCAGACATGACTTCTGTGATACAGAAGAAGTCTACCTTCTGCCAATCAAATCTCAGATGAACTGAGAAACTCTTGAGGCAGGGGAAAAGAGTGCAAAATTGCCGCCATTTTATTGCTCAGTGACCTCGCCAAGGTTACCAAATTTCAGGTGTGCAATGATTTATGGGAGAAACTTGTTCTCAGTGGGGAAACAAAACGCATACATTTTTAATTCTTTATATCATCATTACCACGGAAAAGTATCCAATACAATTGACACGCGTTGATTTTATCTCTGGACCTCCATTCTCTCTAAATTCATTACCCACGCAGAGTTCTACTGTCTGCTAAAAAGAGGCCAAATTCAGTACAATTGTAGCCTCTGTCAAGGGTTAGTACAATTGCACGTTTTGTGCAAAACCGGGGAAAACCGTCATAAGAGATTGATTCTAACTATCCGTGATCATTCTTGATCGAAATGACTCAATTATACAGCTATATATGACAAGCAGAAGACTCTGACGAAGAGAAACGTTCATTAATTTACAGTATCATGGCTACGGCAGACGATATCAAATCCACTGTGTTGCTAGTTTTAAAGATAACTTTCACGTACTTTATACTCCTTGGATTACAGGTAACTAATAACGTACTTCTCGTGTTTCTGTTTAGCAATAATATCGGCTATTGTATGCTTTAAGTATCTAGTCCTTTCAGCCGAACAACAGAATTTCACAGTAATACAAATCGCGGCTTCTGTTTTGCCATGAACCGGGATCTCGCCTGGATTTTTTCAGAAAGTGTCGGGTCATTCTGTTTTGAAACATTACTCTTTCTTTGAAAACGTGAGGCTGCCTACATACCCACATACATCTTTTACAGGTGACATTGATCTACATTAGTACGTTGAAATCTATGAATTATTGAATGTTATCGAAAACCGAATATAAAAACAATTGTTCCCAGCGTGTGGGTTTTTAACAAAGAAAAATGCCAGTTGCTCTCAGATCAGTTATCAGTTACTCTTAAGATATCCCATGTTTATTTTTTCAACTTTGTGGTACATATATACCTGACACTCAATAGCGTTTCCAAACGTTTCCGTAAGGCTGCAAATTTAGCCGACTTTCCACTGAGGACTACAAGCCGGCACCAAAGTGATGAGAATAGGCTGTGTTCGCTGGCTATGCAAATATGTTTTTATTTGAGAAAACTTCATTTTTCTTAGAAAAGTTTGTTTTCTATAAACTAAAATGAACCGAATGGTTTGAAAGATAATCCATTAGAACCTCCGGAACCACAGGCAGAATTTGGTCATTTCACGTCGTTGTTTTGCAGAGGACGACAAACTGAAATGTACCAAGAATTATAACGCACGTGCACAGACATTGTTCTGCCCTTTAAACCTTTTGTTTAGCGACGTTGCCGTTGCCGTTGCCATCGTGGTTTTCTTAAACTCCTTAATGTAAACTAGGAGGTAGCGTGGCCGAGTGGTCAGCGCGTCGGACTCGCAATCTAGCGTTCCCTGGTTCGAGTTCCGCTCTGACCACTACCTGGATTTGTTTCTCAGCAGCCCCGGGTTCAAATCCTCGGCCACGCTTGTAAAGCCAACTGGTTTGCCTCCGGTCAGTTGTGTTCAATTGCGTTCAATTCAATCATTTGCTTTATTTGTTTGCTCGGCCCAGATAGCCTTTGTGCTATAAACACTTCTGAGGGTAAATAAAAGTTAATATATTACATTTCTACGTGGAAACCACTACTTGTTTTTTAAAATGCCTTAACACCGAGGAGTTTAGCTGAAGGTGTTCAATGTTAAAATGTCCACAAATTCAACAAACAATTTGCACCAGTAAATGCCGATTGATGCAGTTGTTCCGTTCAGGATTAACAAAACTTCGCTTTACATTTCATCTGAATCATGTAGTACAGCAATTTTGAACTGTTCAGTTGATGTCTTTGTGTCAGGTTCGATCAGGTTTTGCCGCGGAGAACGATGACGTATTCCTCCCATCGCCAAAAGTAAAGACATTAGAACCCAGGATTACGACGCCAACTCCACTACCTGTGACCGAGAGGGACCTGTGGGGAATAAGACTGTGGCAAGTGGTTGGCCTCGCATTCGTGGCCACAATCTTTCTAAGTGAGTAACAAACAACTGCGATTCAAGCGAGGATAGGGCGTAATAAAATTAATGTGAAGGTTAAACATTTTTATTTCTGAAGGTTCGAGTTCAAGTCTTCCCGAGTTCATTTTTAACTTGGAAAATATTTATTATTTTCCAAGTTGTAGTGGTGGAATGATTTCACTCCATCACTCCTTCACTCCTTCCCTGGGTCACTTCCCGTTAGACATTTGGAAACGGGAACTCCCATATGAAAAGGCAGCGGATGCTCGTCAGAAAATTTGAATTTAACTCCTAAAGGATACTTTGACAGCTATGATGACGTTTCGTCATCAGCACCCTAAGTTCTCCACTGCTAGATGTAATTGACACGATAATAAAGTCGTTATTATTATTAAGTGAGACCAGGATCCTTGATTCGTACCCGAGACGACGAGCATCCGCGACCTTTTCATATAGGCGTCCCCCCGGGTTTCGAACATCAGCCGTCTGAGGCTGTTTTAAAGTCGTTTGCAGCGTGTCAAGTTACTTATTTTCACAAGTAGTTCCTTAATGAACAATGCCTCATAACACCCTTTCATAATATATTTTCCAAGTTCAGTAACTCACAGCCACTTTGATTTTGGGACCGCATGGGTCTACGTTATTTCTTCCTCTTTTTTTACGGAAATTTAATTTATGCCATTTGTTTCATAGTCATATTTTGTTGCTGTCTGTGTGACTGTCGCATTCCCAAAACTGCCTACGACAAACACGACAAACTGGAGGAAGGCAGTGACTGCAGTGATACTGAGCCAGCGGCTGCCGTCCGCAGAACACCTCAGGCCCCACAAGGCGAGAAAAAGCTGGCGACCAATCCAGCTCCACAAAAGAGTCAGATAGGGACCATAGGAAGGGCAAATAACGCATTTGATGACGACAGAGAGATTACTGCTAAATACAGTGAAACTTGGAAGGGGACTCCACGAGTGAAATTTAGCAGGCAGCCATAATATTACGTCTGCTGCAAGTCACGACTATATTTCGGCTAGATAACTTTTAGATTTCCCATAACGTGGAGATATTTATTGAGGTAAACAAAATTTTCAGAATCGATACTTCGAATTAAATACCGTAAATCTTCGAATTAGCGCCCGGGGCGCTTATTTCAAATTTGAGAATCGAAGCTGGAGGGCGCTTATTCGAGGGACGCTTAATCGAGGCGGGGCGCTTATTTAATTTTTCCAAATGGTGGCCTGGCATGATCATTTTATCCAATACATCATCTGCGCGTAAACAACAACACAAGCTGTTTATCGACATAAAAAGCTGATCTTTATGATCCTAAAGTTTAAATCGCGGCACCGTTAGTACTTAACGTGTTCACAAACTGAAACAATGTACAAATCTAATACTGAGAATACTACACGACGAAAACTATGCATCCTTTGTTGTCTCATTACTAGTCCACAAAATGGGGAGAGGGGACGGGGCGCTTATTCGAGGAGGGACGCTTATTTTAAATTTTGGCCGAAAGGAGGGGCGCTTATTCGAAGGGGACGCTTATTCGATTGAGGGGGCTAATTCGAGGATTTACGGTATGTACCTCTGCTGTGCCTGCGTCAAACAATCCTGTCTTAACGGCGAAAAGGGTCTCCGCTTTGAAGAACGAATCTAACGAAAGAACAGCCAGAAATAGTTTCCCCAACTGTCAACATTATTTTGTAATTCTTTAAAAAAAAAAAAATGCAGCACTCCAAGAATATCCATTGGTTTCCACTTTATTTACAAAAAAAAAATTATTTTTCAAAAATGTAAGGCCAGTTTACTTTTGCCTTTATGTATTTTAACAACTGTAAAAGATACATGTCTTTTAAAAATGCCCTATTCCGAACAACCTCTTCTGTTTCATATCTTTCCCTGTTCAAATAAAAGTACTTTTAAAACTTTTGATCTTTTCACCCGAGGTCCTATAAAATACGCTCTTCCGTGATCAATATAGCTTCAAAAAACGAATCGCACATTTACCGATTTCAAATTAAAAAAGTGATCATATATTCACTGGTAACCGATTTTTATATATTATTTACACTGACGTTTATAAATTTTCTTAGTCTGACAATTGCTTTAAGACCATAAATTGCATGAAAAGTAGGTGAATGTATAAGCCATAAAAATATTCCTTAAAATGTATGGTGAATATAAGAGCATATTGGTGTCAACTCAGCACATTATAATGTGTTTTTCATCATTGCCGACGGAAGGCCGTGATTTTCCCGCCAAATGCCACCTGACGCGGCTTCCACTCGAGTATTGCTCTCTTCGGAATCTGGTACCTAGCATTTATCAAGGACTCGTGTCTCTAAAACGCCATGCTTGTTATCTCTCCTCTGTTCGTGTTAGGAATGGGGGAGTTGCCAAGCGGCGAGGATTGCTGAGGTGATTCAGGAAAGCCTTGGGTTAATGATCTTTTCTTATGGTGCCCAGGCATCCACGAGTCCTCAAACGAATGAAACTCCATTGATGACGGACGCATAGAGTTGTACTGTATGGAATTAAATAAAAA